GCGCCCGGCTGCTGGCCAGAGGCACCTAGGTAGCTTATGCAGGGAAGCCCTTCTTCCCCCTCCCTGCCCGCCTCCCTCCCCAAATCCCCGCTGCACCGGTGCCATTCGGAGCTTGTGCGCCCACGGCGCAGCCCTCGCGTTAGACTGAAGATTCCCAGAGGCCAGGACGGTCTTCGGGCTCCAAAGGGAACCGAGAGGCACCCAGGTGAACACCGAGCCAAGTACCGCGCCGGCATCTTCATAGCTCGGTGCCGGGCGGAGGGGAAGGCTTAGTCCCTACCCCTCGCACAGTTTACTAGTGACACCGACCGACCCAGTGATGAGCACAGTCCTCCCCCAGCCGCCTGAACACAGCCCGGCAGGATGACGGAGGGTTCTCTAACCTTAATAAGCTCATTTGTCCTCTCGAAGGAAGTAGCTGGTGGTGCGGAGCCTTTTTCCTCTGACCCATAGATGGGGGGTCTGTCCTGAAGGGCGAGTGCCCACTGGGCACCTAAGGACCCTACCTCCCGGGGTTAACAGGGGTGTCAGGTTTGACCTGATGGCCCCTTTCCCTACACCCCTGGCAAGTTCCTCCTTGTCCCCATGCCCCTGGCAAGTTCCTCCTTGGCCCATGCCCCCGGCAATTTCCTTCTTGTCCTAACTCGGGTGGCCCTTCCTCTTCCTGGCTCTTCACCCCGCACCCCCAGGCGCTTCTAATGTTCCTCACTGGCAGTACATCTGCCCTCTCCTCCCTCCCTCCCCCCGGTGATCCGTGAGACACACCGCCATCATTTGCTTCATTCTTCTCTCCAAAGGACACTGGGGGTGAGGGCACTGTACTAGCTGTCACTACTCCCACTCACTCCTCCCTTCTGAACACAGCCCACACCTCAGACCCCGAGGTCCCCCTGACCTACTTGGGCTGCATCCAGCCCCCACGTGCATTTACACCGTTGACCATCCCTCCTCTGCCGGACCCCTCACCCTCCTGGCTTTTCTTCTGCCTCTGGCTACCTCCTCAGCAGCCTCTTCTGTGGCTCACCCCTTGGTCCCCTATGCTTCTCACGTCCTGTGCGGATACCATCTTCTCCCATGGGGTCCACATCTCTACCTCAGCCCAGACCATCTGAGGCCACAATAAATTCAACCTTAATGGACATCTCTACAGGTGTCCTACAGGCCCCTAACTTTTGTCCCTTGCAACTCCTCCCTGGCCTTCCTCATCTCCATGAAAGGCATGACATCCACCCAGCTGTCCAGTGCAGAGAAGGGAGCCTTACTTGACCCAATTTCTTGTTGCTACTGTAGCTTCGTGGATGGACCACAGCTGCTCCTGGGGTGTGGGCTGTAATAGCAGCCTTCCACCTGGCCTCTTGCTTTGACATCAGGGTGGGCAGGATGATTTTTCTAAAAGGAAAATCGGATCATGTGTTTCCCTATTGAAAACCCTGCAGTGTCCCCTGCCCACAGAATGACAGAGCTCCGCAGCACGGCTCAGCCCCGGGCCCAGATGCACCTCTTCTTTTACCCCATGATCCTGTTACGACAAATCATGATCCAGCCAGCCCTGGAATCTTGCTAATTCTTGGTCCCAGGCCTCTGTATATGGTTTTCCATCAGCCTGGAACCACCCCTCTTCCCACTCTCCTCCCCACTCCCCCCTGCATTCACTTTGTGAAGCTGCTCATCCTTTAGGTTTGCCTGCTAGTGTCTCTCGAATAGGTAGCCCTAGACCAGGGGTGGGCAAACTTTTTGACTCGAGGGCCACAATGGGTTCTTAAACTGGACCGGAGGGCCGGAACAAAAGCATGGATGGAGTGTCTGTGTGAACTAATATAAATTCAAAGTAAACATCATTACATAAAAGGGTACGGTCTTTTTTTTTTTTAGTTTTATTCATTTCAAACGGGCCGGATCCAGCCCGAGGGCCGTAGTTTGCCCACGGCTGCCCTGGACCCAGCCAACAGTTGGAGCTGAATAAATACTACAGAGGAATGAACATGTCCCTTCCCTCTACAACCACACCCCTGCAGGAAGGTGGGAAAAGGAGGCACTAGCTTGCCAAGGAGGATTTAAGAATGCTCCTGGGGCCCTAGCTGGTTTGGTCCAGTGGCTAGAGCAGCCTTGGGCAAACTACGGCCCGCGGGCTGGATCTGGCCCGTTTGAAATGAATAAAACTAAAAAAAAAAGACCGTACCCTTTTATGTAATGATGTTTACTTTGAATTTATATTAGTTCACACAAACACTCCATCCATGCTTTTGTTCCGGCCCTCCGGTCCAGTTTAAGAACCCATTGTGGCCCTCGAGTCAAAAAGTTTGCCCACCCCTGGGCTAGAGTGTCAGCCTGCAAATCGAAGCATTCCGGTTTGATTCTGGTCAAGGGCACATACCTCGATTGCAGGCTCCTCCCCATCAGGGCCCTGGTCCGGGTGTGTGCAGGAGGCAACCAATTGATGTGTTTCTCTCACACTGACATTTCTGTCTTTCTCTCTCTTCCACTATCTCTAAACAGCAATGGGAAAATATCCTCGGGTGAGGATTTTAAAAAAAGAACGCTCCTGGGAGGACAGGGAGGCTGTGCTTCTCCCAACCTGTGGTCAAAGGCTAGCGGGCACTTCAAAGGCACCTGCCATGGGGTGAAGAGAGGAAGGGACAGAAAACTGACAGGAAGGAGTTCATCGCATTTATTGATTGATAATAAGTTCGGGCCAGCTGCACCGGAATGCTCCCTGCCTGGGCTCTGCGAAGAGGGGCAGCGGTGATCCTTCTGGTTGGTGCCAGGAGGGAGCCAGCCCTGGGCCTGGTGCTCAGGACCACTGAGGCGTGCTGTCCAGCTGGATTGCCTTGGTGGGCAGCATCAGCCTGGGCCAGGGATCAGTCCCAGGGTCCTGCTCCCTCATTCTGTCAGCCTGGGCCTCAGGCACAGAACCTCAGAGCCTGCAGCCTGCCCACCTGCCCAGCCACATGGGGACAGAATCACCTGAGTGAGAGGAGGATGGAGGAGCTCCTGGCATGATGCTGGGGAGGAGGACGTGAACATGGGCCAGGATTTGACCAGGGGTGACAGATGGGGAAGTGGGGCCAGCGAAGAGCTTACAGGCTCAGATGATGTTGCGCTCTTCGACCTTCTCTCCCAAGTAAAAGCGGCTGAAGAGGAGGGAGCTCAGGTTGATGGTCTGGAACTGGCCCTCTAGCACCATCTCGGCCACAGCTCGCCCCACGGCGGGGGCCTGCTGGAGACCATGGCCACTGAAGCCTGTGGCAAAGTACATGTTGACCACCAGGGGGTGGGGGCCCACCACGCCGTTCTGGTCAAAGGTGTTGTAGTCGTAATAGCCGGCCCAAGCGCTCCGAACCTGCAGGTGCACGAGACGTTGGGGTTCTCTGGAAGGCCGCCAGGGCAGCCACCCCGCTCCTGGTCAGGCCTCAGCACCCTCTACCACTGCCGAAGGGGTTGACAGCATGGGTTCTTAGACCCACAGAGCCCTTAGCAATTGTGAGGTAGACAGATGGGCCCGAGATGCTCCAATGTCATGTCTCCCAGTTACCTTCAGGCTCTGAAAAGCTGGTACTCTGTGGGCCAAATGGGGCCACACTTTGTCCTGGAAGAAATCGTGGTCCACTTCCAGGTTCCCCGGGTCCGGTTCCTCCTCCTGGGGTGAGAGGTGGGGATACAAAAACAGAGCCAGGGCTCACTGACCTCTTTAGTCAACCCCCTAGGTGGGTGGGGGATGGGGACGAGAGATCCCAATTGAAACCTGAAAGTGCTGCCACATCAGTAACAGCACCGGCCCTCCCCAGAGCCTGAAACTTTATTTATTTATTTTTTTAATAACTATTTTTTAATATATTTTATTGATTTTTTACAGAGAGGAAGGGAGAGGGATAGAGAGTTAGAAACATCGATGAGAGAGAAACATGACTACTGGGCTGTCCCCTCCCAAGCCCCGACCCCATTTAGCTCACCTCGGTGGGGCTGCAGCCACCCAAGTAGTTGTGGCCTAATCCTTCCCGGCGGAAATAGGCTCCACTGGTGTCTGCCATGAACGGAGTCTCCAGGCCTGGTCCCTCGGGGCAGTGCCAGAAGTACACGTACCTGCCATAACCAGGTGGGTTCGGAAGTGGCGGGAATAACAACTCTTCCCTCCTCCCACTGAACAACTGTTTTCTCTTTTTTTAAAATTTATTTTTATTGATTTCAGAGAGGGAGGGAGAGGGTAAGAGATGGAAACATCAATGAGAGAATCACTGACGGCCTGCCTCCTGCACACCCCCCCCTGGGGATCGAACCCGAAACCCAGGCATGTGCCCTGACCAGGAATCGAACCGTGACCTCCTGGTTCATAGGTTCGGGAATAGCAACTCTTCCCTCCTCCCACTGAACAACCGTTTTTTCTTTTTTTTTAATTTATTTTTATTGATTTCAGAGAGGGAGGGAGAGGGTAAGAGATGGAAACATCAATGAGAGAATCACTGACGGCCTGCCTCCTGCACACCCCACCCTGGGGATCGAACCCGAAACCCAGGCATGTGCCCTGACCAGGAATCGAACCGTGACCTCCTGGTTCATAGGTTGATGCTCAACCACTGAGCCACGCCGGCCGGGCTTAACAACCTTTTATATTGTTTCTCTCCTCCTCTCACCAACCTCCTCAGCTGCCCCGGGGGAAGTCACCTTTTCCTCGGCTCCACAGGTAGCTTGGTGCCCTCCAGGGTGCCAGGTGGCCCCTTCCCAATACCAGCCAGCTCTGCTACTTGCCCAGACCAGGCGCCGGCGGCATTGATCACGAGGGCACATTCCACAGGCTGGTATTCCAGGCTGTGGTCCATCTTCACCTGCAGGCACAGAGGGGGAGGGAGGCAGGGCCTGGCCCATACGCTGGCCACCATGAGAGGAACCTTTCTTCCTGGAAGTGGGTAGAAGTTCCAAGTGACAGCCGTTACCGTTCTCCTCCCTCCCTCCACGCTGGTGAGGAAGTTACGCAGGCTGGGAACTTACATGGACTTCATGGATCCTCTTCAAAGTCATCTCTTTCCCACTGCTGGTCTGCATGCGGCTAGATGACGTGATGAAACCTGCAGGAGAAAGAAAATGAAAGAAGCCCTCAAGGCCTTGGAGAGGAAGGAGAGGGGGGTCCCGGTGTCCTAGGGAAAGGAACTGGAAGGCTGGGCAAACCCAGACCCTGCAGCCAACAGGGTAACGGGGATGAACTTGGCCGCACTCAGGGCAGGAGAGCACTGAAACCTTCTAGCCCAGTGATGGCGAATCTATGACACGCGTGTCAGAGGTGACACGCGAACTCATTTTTTTGTTTTTTTCTTTGTTAAATGGCATTTAAATATATAAAATAAATATCAAAAATATGTCTTTGTTTTACTATGGTTGCAAAGATAAAAAAATTTCTAGATGTGACATGGCACCAGAGTTAAGTTAGGGTTTTTCAAAATGCTGACACGCCGAGCTCAAAAGGTTCGCCATCACTGTTCTAGCCAATCATGAGGCGGAAGCAGCCTAGTCAGCAGCTGGAGTCAGGATGCCCAGGACCAGCCCTCAGGGGAGAAGCCCCTTCCCCCACCAACCCTTGTGAGTGAAGATAAGACACGGTCTAGGCCTGCGCCCTGGATGGCAAAGGCTATGAGCAGTGGGCAAGGGGGGCAGACTCACGTGTCACCTCTCCCTGGCAGAAAAGGACCCCCAGGGACTGGATCTTTCGCCGAAGCCCCTGGAGCAGACACCAGGGGTCAAACCAACCTTCACCTTCCAACCCTGTGAGGGAAAAAGAGGAGGATGAAGAGGGTCGAGAGCCCTCCTCTCCTTTTGTTTCCTGCACCCCCAACTCTTCTTTGGGCTGGTACGCTGGGGAAAGTCAAGCTGACCGACCGCACCGAGTCAAATCCTGCGGAAGAACAGAGCTGGCATGGCCTGGGGCAGGGGGGGGGGGCTGCTGGCCAGAGGGAGGCGCTGCTCAGTGACGTGGCTACAGGGTGCTGAGGCTTCCCACCCGAGGTGCCCGCAGCCCTCTGCCCTCTGCGCGCACGCCTCACCGTAAGACGCCAAGGCCACTCCGTCCGTGTTAATCCATGGAAACTTGTTCTGCAGCTGCTCCGGGGACATCAGACACACTTTGGCTCCTTCCTGCCTGAGAGAAACACGTGTGTCTGTGTGTATGTTAGTGAGGATGAGCGTGCAGAGGGAGCAGTATGGACCCAGCTCCACAAGTGGGGATTCGACCTCATTTATGCCCCTTCTCTGTCCTTGCTGAATGGATGGGGGACAAGCCTCCTCGGCTCTTCAGCATCTGACCCCTTCTTCCTTTCCTACACCCTAGTGTCCGTTGGCTGCACAGCCTGAATCCCTTGCCGTCCTTTCACAACAGGGTGAGTCGCTGTTCCCTCCGCTC